CCGTCTCTTTGAGTATGTTCATCAAAGCATGTTTATGGAAAACTGTAGTGTAGCATTTGTGGTCGGTAGATTTGATTTGTAAAGTGGACATGCCCGATCCACATCCACTAGTCTTAAATGCCGTTTTTTGATGGCTGGACCCTTAAGTATGGGAGTAGAGCAAAGCCCAATAAAAGTGAATGGCCCATACACACTGAAGGGATGCGGATGCTCACTACAAGTTCCTACCAATTTCAACGAGGTGGAATGGGCTATGATTATTTAAGAAGACAGAAATGAAGGATTATGCAAATTTATTGCTGGGGTATTTATTAAGTCAACACTAAGAAGTAAAATTAAATCATGTCGTCACAATTTCTAGGAAGTACACTACAATTTGATCCAGACAAGTTAACGCTGCTCCATTTAACCTGCACTGTATGCCATGCACTCATTGGACAGAAGGTCGCTGTCTATTTCCGCAGAGGTCACTGGCTTTCCAATAATGTAACCAGTACTGGCCTCTGGCTCCTTAAAGTTGGTATGCACATTTAATGAAGTGCCCACGCCTTCGAACACGATGAAAAAGAAGTATTCCTACAAAGTTCTCAGGACTATTTTTTGCACTTCCACTACAAATCGCGGCAATTATTCATCCGCTGAGAGAGGTTGGTTTGGTAAAAAGTTGCAGTACCTGTAGAATTCTTTTAGTGCATAAATGACTTCGCATAAAACAGCTCCTCATGTTGGAAAAACGGAGCAGGAACCACCTTGAAACAATTGACTGCTTCTTAAATTGGGCCAAATTACTTCATGACAAATAATAGGAATTACCAAAAACTCCAGACAAAGTATTTAGTAACTGCATTTGCTTACCGGCTAATTTTACTTTTTCAGTCAAAACTATTTTGAATAAATTTACGAAGAACATGTCAAACAAATATATTATGTATCGAATTCTCAGTACCTAAACAAATAAAGCCTTTTAGCAGAATTATAGCATTTAAAGTGCACAATTGTAAGGTCTAATATCTTACTCGTAGGTAATTTGGCAAAAAACACCAAGAAATAACTTTAAAAGCTCAAAATGCCACATATGATGCACAAAAATGCACACCCGCAAATGAGGATTTTACAAATACCTCAGATAAAGCAGCAGCACAAAAGAAGACAGGGTTACCTTTGCGACTGCCGAATTGCTTGCAGTTGAGAGGCCAGATAATCGTGTGTTTTACCGAGAGCAACTTAACAGAGGCAAAGTCACCTTCATAAAGCACTGAAGAAGTCAAGCACTAACTAGCTGATTTGCTCATAAGGAAGGGGAAGGCGTGTGGCGAGGCCTTCTACTCTTTAACTGCAGTAGATTGATGGCAGGAGGTTCATTTTGATCAGCATTGCTTTCTACGATGTCGTATAGAAGGATTGAGAGGCAGGGAGCATAATTTGTGTGTTTACAGCCTTTTTATTTCTTTGGCACACTTCTCAGCAAAAAACAGTCGGAGTTTACATCGCAGTACCTACGTCATCTCTTAAGGCGTTAGAAGGCGTAGCATTTTCGTGAATTGTATGCAATTTGGCAGGATGACACAAAAACAACAGGAAAGGCCAATCTCAGACACCTTGAAAAACCTTGACGCACTGTTCTTACTAAATTCCATCTAGAAGGGAGCCGGTGCACCCCAGTAATTGCGCTGTGAACAAGGGCAATGCAATCCACGTGACATTGCCTCTTCCAGTGTGACCCTACAAAGTAGGGATACACTGCATTTTGGTTGGAGTGGGAGCCGCTGCGCCGGTTTGAATGCAGAACTAGACGAGGGTATCAATGCAGCTGGATAAGGAGGAGAGTGAAAAGAAAAGTGATTAAATGGTTAAAGTGTTCAGTGTGTTCAAAAGTGAGTGCCTCTATGAC